ACGCTGACTCGCCCCTTCCCCACCATGGCTGTCTTGCTGAGTCAGGGTCAGCCCGGGCCACCCCGAAGTGCTGAGTAAAGGTTCTGTGCTGTGTCGGAGGCTGTTTCGCTGAGTCACAGCAGAGCAGGGTCCACGTGAGGCTCTTCATTACGGGGCGGTTTCCTGCACGCTGAGGTTGCAGCTGCTGCTCTTGGATCCGGTCCCGCTTCTCGAGACAACGGGAGAAGCCTCCAGAAACAGCGCCGTGCAGGAGGAGGAGTCCCCTGGGGCAGGGAGCCAAGCAGGGGTGGTTTGGGAGCCTTGAAGGGGGGGTTTGGGGTCTCACTCCCTTTGCAAACCTTGTTTTCCAGCTCCGACTCTTCCCGTCCCCTGTGAGCGGTGGCACAAAGTCCTCACTGTTGCACACGTGCGATGGTCAAAGCCAGGTTCTCACAGCCCGGCCTGTCCCGCAGTCAGGGCATGCTTGGTTTTACTGACACAAAGGAACCGGCACCGGCTGAAACAGTTGCACAAATGGGGTTTTCATTCATTAACTCTTCCCTGCTCCCTCCCACACCTCCCCTTTGCTCCCAAAGCCAATCCTCAGCAGGGCATAGGGTTGATCCCCAGCACCACCAAGGCTCTAAGGAGTGTGGTGAGCTCTGTGCACTCTACCCCAGAATTTCAGCCCAATTCTACCTGTAACCTGCATTCTTTAGGCCACTGCCATACCCTGGGTCTCGTCACAGAGCAGGGTGCTTGCTCTGTTCTCCCTCCTTTGCCCTGCTCTGTTGCCAGCCAGCCCAGAGCTCTCTTTGCTCGTAGCCATGTGCTGGAGACACCCATAGGACCACAGCTTCGTTTGGGTTGGAAGGGACCTTAAAGCTCATCCAGTTCCAACCCCCTGCCATGGGCAGGGACACCTTCCACTAGAGCAGGTTGCTCCAAGCCCCTGTGTCCAACCTGGCCTTGAACACTGCCAGGGATGGGGCAGCCACAGCTTCTCTGGGCACCCTGTGCCAGTGTCTCACCACCCTCACAGGGAAGAGCTTCTGCCTAATGTCTAATGTAAATCTCCCATGTGCTGCAGCACGCATATATCCACGCATCTATAAAAACATGTATTGTAATCGGTGCTTCCTGTTTTTGTCCAGTCAATTCATTTATGTCTGAGCAATCTCCCTGCACCTCCATTTCCCACCACATTGGTCTCCAGGTTCCCATGTACGGGGTTTGCCCAGCACAGCCAACGCACCAGCAGTGCCAGACTGGGGGACACTTCCTACTGGGTCTGCCAGTGCACTGCACTCCCGACCTTCCTATTTCCACCTCTATCTTTGACCTAGGCACGGATTGTTTGATGCTGACCGCAGCGAGCACAGTCAGTTCCACCAGGACAGGGCAATCTCCCTTTGGTAAACATGACTTAACCCACAGAGTATCCCTGGACACTGCAGCACTGATTCCCTTCTTCAGCAAGTCACTTAAAGTGGTTATCACAACTTCTTCCCCCCCCCTCCCCCCGCCTTCCCTGTGATTACACAGCAATTCCTGGTTACTGAGTCAGCTTTCCCTGTGCAATCCGGGCAGCTGCGTTTTGCTGTGTCATGGTCCACGAAAGGCATTAACCCCTCCCAGCCCACTGGTTAAGGATGGTTTCACCGGGTGGTGCATTCCCCAAGGAGCAGAGGGAGCTGCCTGCTGAAGCCCAGCATGGAACAGGCAGTGCTTCCCATGCGGGCTCAGGAGAGCTGACTTTGCACTCTGTGACTGTCTGTGTAACCACAGACCTATTGGCAGAACAGGCTGTTAACTGCATAAAGGGGAGAAAATCCCCCACTTCCCTATCCCACATGAAAACACCACCTCCTCAATAACTTTCTGGTGCTGTTAACCATTCATTTACACCATCTCTTTCGATGAAGTATTTTCTCAGGTGTGGTAGTGCAGACAGAGGCTTGAAATCTCAGCAGGATCTATTACAAATATCCTGCCTGAGGCTACTTCAGTCATTTGTGCTACAAATACCCCAGGAAAACGCCCAGGCACATCACCTAGGGAATAGCTCTGGCACAAAGTAGCCATATCTCACTTGGATGAGATCCGAGCAGAATCTCCCAGTGACCTGGGTGCAGGCTGGCCTCTGCTTTCCCATGGAATAAGCTGCTCCAGGAGCCAATTTGCTCCTTTCACTAAAAGCACACACCTCCTTCCCCATGCATCTTGGGAAGCTGCCGACTTCCCAAGTTCTCTTCATGGAAGAGATGGTTCCTCACAAATCTCTGCCTGCACGTTGGCACACTCAGTGTCATTAACCTTCCCACAGCACGTAGCAACAGCACAGCAGAAGCAATACAAGCCCTCTCTGCAAAGCACTGGATGGAGCCAGAAATGCCCCAGGCCAGCAACTGCAAAGATGATGACACCCCACTTTCAGTTCTCCTTCCATCTTGCTACAGGGCATTTGGGCCTTTCCAGAGAGCTGGGTCCCATCTCACATGCTCCATCCCAAGTAACCCTGATCAGCTGAGATGAGGCAGCATAAATCAGTGATGGGGCACAGCTTGCTTGCCTGCTCCTATGGGAAGGCTTACAGCAGAGGTGAGCTGGAGTAGGGACCTCATTCCTTGTGACAAGCCCAGGAGGAAGTAAAACCCCAACAAGATCCAGAAGTAGGTAAATTGGGTCCATGCTCAGAGGCAGTGTGGTTACAAGCCAGGACTTCTCCTGGGAATAACTATCTTACCTGGAATGGCAGCAACATACTACACACAATCCCTCTCTTCCCCCAGTCTTACATCCCCACCTACTACAACCCCGGATGAGAAGGAATGAGGACCTTTAGGATGCATCCTTTACAGGGCCTCCAAGCATGTAGCCTCTTGGAATAAGGCAGGCAGAGGACAAAAGCACTGGCCTGAAAGCAACCAGAAAGTCCTTGGGGAGGAATTGGGTGTGTTACCAGGGCTGTGTAACAAAGATGAAAGAAGAGGCATACCTTGAGGGCTGGTTTATTTTCATATCATCTCATTAAATGAATAGTATTATTCATTTTCATATTCTTATATATTTCCTACTTCCCTCCAGCAGAGCTACAAGTTCAGTCTGTGCTCCAGATTCCCGTGTCAGAATAGGACTCACTGAAAAGGACAGAAAATGTGAGCTTTAAGGAGTAATGCTGGAGGAAAAAGCTTATTTTGGGACCATATTTTTGGCAAAATGGCATCAATGTTTTCCGGAGGGACTGGCCATGCAGCCCTGATACATTTATTTTACCTTACAGAAAAGCAAGCAGGCCAGCAGCAAGTTGTCTGCAATGAAATGGGGGTAAGAGTGGAACGTGACAGCTTTTGCTCGCATGCACTGTTGCTTTAAAAGACAAAGGCAAGACAGGAAAAGTGTGGCTGAGTCAGGGTGGAAGCGCTGAGTAATCCTTCCCCAGCGCTGCACTGCATGCCAGATGTCTGCCGGAGCTGCAAAACAAGTGTGGAAGCATGTTTCCCCCGGGACAGCTTTCTAACCTGCAACAACTAACCCGTCTGTGGCCTGGTATAGGTGCAGTGACGGGGAGGTGCGCAAGGAGCACGGCTTGGGTGGCAGCACCCATCAGCAAAGCTGGTGGGGACAGATGGAGGGAAGATGCTCCAGTCCTTCTCCCTCCTCCCCAGGCTCTGCCTCCCCACCACCCCCTGCACAACTGCAGCACAGGGCTTTCTCACACCCAAAGCATCAAAGGAATGGTGGCTTTAAGTGCCCAGCTCTTTGGGCTTTTCCCAGGTAGCCAGTGCAATGTCTGCCCTGGCTAGTCCTGCTCCCAGTACAGCTACAGCTGAAAAGGAAGGGTCTCACTTGTCTGCTGACTGCCTTGCTGACCACCAGACAGAGCAGCAGAGCAGCCAGCTATGAGAAGCACTTTGTTCAACTCTCTTTTCCCAAATCAGGGAAATTATTTGCCTTTAAAAGCCTCTGCAGACTTCCTCAGTGTCCCCCAAGCCTTGTATGACATCTTTTCAGTGCACCAGCTACCCCAGCCTTCTGGGTATCTCGGAGATGGAGTGCTATTCTCCTAAATCGCCCTGCACACAGCTGAGGTAACACAAAGGTGACAGGCCACACAAATCAGATGGTATTTTTTCCCATGTGGAAGAGAGTTTGAAAAGCGTTTTGCTGTGCATCAGTGCTGGCATACCTGTGCTGGCTCTGTGCAAAGTGACAGGGTTTATTCCCCTCTGCTCAGCACTGTGCCAGGGCAGTTCTGGTGCTTGCAGACCAGAGCTGGTGCACATACATGCCACTGCAGCCACATTACCCTGGGTACCCACAACAGGTACATGCCCCAGTGTCCTTCCTCTGCTCCCTACCATGAAGGGGGTATCTCCTAACCTGTAGTGCTCCCCATCCCATGACCCACAAGTACCACATTACCTGACTCTCTGAAGATATGCATAGTCATGGGAAATAAGATGTTCATACCCGAGTGGTGCTGTATTAGCTGCCCAGGCAGGGTGCAGTCCCATGGGACCCAAACTGGGTGTAGGGAGAGCAGGCTGCCCTCCCTGCCTCAGGCACTAACCCTGTAAATCCACCCCTATTTGTCCAACCTCTCTGCCCCAGCACAATAAGCACCTCTTGCAGCACTTGGGCTCTGCCTGCCATGGGCACTGCACTGAAAGGGTTACAGAGCCAGGCACCCTCGGAGGAGAAGTTGCTGGACATCCTCTTGTTTATGCTTAGTTATCAAGGCGAATCAGGTGACTTCCTTCTGGTCCCTTGGGATTGCAGGCGCGGGGAGGGTGACAGCCGCGCTGGGAAGGGAAGTGCAGTTGTGTTGCAAGAAGTTCGTACTCATGCTGAGGTCAGTGGTTTGGCTGCTCACGTGGCCTGCCAGTATAAAGCTGGATGCGGGAGCTGGGCTATCCAGCTCAGAGCTTCACTGTCCTGGGAGCAGAAGGGACAGAGGGAGGAAAGCACAAGCAAGAACAAACAGCAGGGAAGCGGAGGAGCGAAGCGACTTGGAGAAACATGGAAACATCCCGGACGCACAGCTCTGAAAGGTGAGAGTGGGACGGGAGCGAGAGGGAATTCTTTGCCAGAAGAGTATTGTGTTTCTCCCTTGCTTTTAGGCATGCTGTTCCTGTTTCTGCTCTGTGGCAAACGGCATGCTTCTGCTTTCACCTCCGGATGGAGTTTCTCAGTTTTCCTTGCTCGGGACAGTGCTTGGGATGCTGGTGCTCCCTGTTTCCCATCCGTGGCTCTTGGAAATGCTCTGCTCCTATTCCTGCCATCCTCTTATTCACTCTTCTTTTCCTAAAGAGCTAAGATCTGTTTTGCCAGAGGAGAGCGATTGCACTGACATCTGTTTTGCTGCTCTTCCCCAGCATGTCCAAGGACCTTTCAGAACTGTTGAAGGAAGCTACCAAGGAGGTTCACGAACAGGCAGAGAACACGCCGTTCATGAAGAATTTTCAGAAGGGGCAGGTGTCGCTCCACGAGTTTAAGGTATTTTATAGCAGCACTGGGGATGCTTGGGGATCCCCATAGATTGTGTGGGGATGGGCTTTCCTTGCTGGGAAATACACTGTTAGATCAGTCAGACTGCATGGGGGCTAAAAGGGGGAGGATGGGGATGGCACAAGGAAGGAGGTCCTGTGCATTACAGCTGTCCTGGTACCAGCATCTCCTGCGCAAAACATGCTCTTTATCAAACTCCAGCACCCTGAGATCTCTCTTGCAGAAGGCGGGGTGGGACTGTGCGTATCAGGATGGGCAGCCAAGCTGAGGCAGGATGAAAAGACAAAGAGGTTGATGAGATTGATGCAATTGCTTTCCTCTTTCTTCATACATGCCTGCATGTTAATTATTGGCAATGGTAGTTAATGGGGATATGACTATGTGCAGATACTTGAGTGGCTGACATGCCAAAAAGAGGGGGAATACTAAATTTACAACCCTCTAAGCCACCACAGCTAGAAATAATGGTGGAATAGCAAGAATGTGAGGATGTGGGATCATCTCTGGCACTGAACTTCGTGATGTTTCAGTTGTCATTGGGCTATACCAGAGCTGAGCTCATGAACAATAACAACTCAAAGGCAGACTGAATTTGAGCAAGCCATGTCTGATGCTTACAGGTAGGAGCCTGTTGCTATTCTTCAGACAAAAGAGAAAACACTTGCAGATATTAGTCTGCACCTAACCTGGCTAGATATGTGATTCCTGGGATCTGAGCCACATAACAAAGCCATGAGCAAAAACAAAGCACACACCTGGCCCAGAAATTCCCGGGAAGCTATAGGATGTGACACATGGTCTTGGAAGTAACAGTTAGCAATCAAACCTGTGGCTTAATTACTTTGTTGTTGAATTGTTCCTTGGCAATTAAATCCACCAGAGAGGGAAAAAGATGACTTATTTCTGATGGGTCACATTCAGGATACTTGGTCAAGCATAAATTTAATCTAAGGTGCTGACTTCCTGCTGTTAGGAATGCGCCGCTGGTTGGGCAGTGAACTTTGAGACAGGCTGGCAATAACATAAAACGTCAGGCCTTCAGGAATACAGCTCCATTTCATAGGAGACATTTACATGCTGTCAGGGGGAGTGAGATGTGACGTGGGTTTGAAAAGTAACAACAGCTTTCCAAAGCCCCGTTTCCCATTAAAACACTACCTGTCCCTGAAAGCAACCACGCAAGTTATATTTTCTCAGTTTGTTAGGCAATGTACCTGTACTTTGTTTCTTTTCTAGTAAGCTGGCTACCAGGTTATTGTTTAAAAACCTCTATTACTGCTGACTCTCTTGGCAGACTCATATATCTGCCCTGATACGTGACTCACCAGAATCTAAGTATTTGTTTCCAAATATTCAACCAAGCCACTGCCCATGTGCTTATCAAAGTCCTGTTTGCTGTCACAGTGAGGGAAAGTTGAAATGGTAACTCTTTTACTGCAGAACTGATTGCTTTGTGGGAGAGCAAACTGCTTTCTCTCCTGTCATCCATGTAACCTCCCCTGCCCAAACCTGACTCACTGGAAGACCTTAATGTTTCACCCTTTGCTGCTGACAGGGAATTCCAGTGTCAGGAAGGGGTGGTGTAGGTGTAAATATGAACACAGCCCCTGAAAACAGAATGCCCGGGGCAGGAAAGAACACAGCTGGATTGTCTTATGCCACGTGGAAAAGCTGGCAGATAGAAGAAAGCATCACGTAAGCTGGGAAAAATAACAATAACAATGGTTTCAAAATAGAAAGGAGAACACGCAGCCTCACAGTGCTCCAGCACAAAGGCATCTTTCAGAGGCAGGCTGTGCTTCCAGCCCCCTTTTATCTTGTCTCTTTGGGGCAACCCCACTTGCATTTCTGAATGAGAGCGTTGTGCCTCAGTTCCCAGGATGGTGGGATGCCAACAGCACGAGTATGTTGAAAAACAAACAGGGTGTGTCATCATCTCACAAGGCGCTACAAAGGGAAGCCACATCCTAAAGCATTCAGATTTGAACAATGCACCAGAAAATATACCTTTGGGAATACCCTCTCTATTGACCGAGGGGATGAGGAGAATAGACCAGGCATGATTTAATAGGGCTCCTGTTTCCATTACATCAAGCTGCAAGAACTTTAACTTGATGGTGAAGGCAGCAGCTTTTAAGAGCAGGTAAGACCAATGTCTGCTGGAAAGGACTTAGGTCTTACCTGATGCTGCCTCAAGCAGGAGGGGAAGGGCTAAATGGTGTCTCACTGCACCTTGCAACTCTGTTTTCCACATGGGAAACCTACAACATCACAGACATGCATGACTCATACCAGGTGTGCCCATAAGTAACTTCTTCATTAGCAGGATTTGTCCCCAAAACCTGAAGAAGACACATACACCCATAGCTCACCTCTTCTTTCTCTTCCAGCTGGTTACGGCATCCTTGTACTTCATCTACTCTGCTCTGGAAGAAGAGATTGAACGTAACAAGGACAACCCAGTTTATGCCCCTGTGTACTTTCCAGTGGAGCTGCACCGGAAAGCTGCCCTGGAGCAAGATTTGAAGTTCTTCTATGGCAGCAACTGGAGGGATGAGATCCCATGTCCTGAGGCTACTCAGAAATACGTTGAGAGGCTCCACTATGTAGGCAAGAACCACCCAGAGCTCCTGGTGGCCCATGCCTACACTCGCTATTTGGGAGACCTCTCTGGGGGGCAGGTGCTGAAGAAAATTGCCCAAAAGGCCCTCCAGCTGCCCAGCACTGGGGAAGGGCTGGCTTTCTTCACCTTCGATGGAGTCTCCAACGCCACCAAGTTCAAGCAGCTCTATCGCTCCCGCATGAATGCCCTTGAGATGGATCTTGCCACTAAGAAGAGAGTCTTGGAGGAGGCCAAGAAAGCATTCCTGGTAAATATACAAGTGAGTAACAAACAGCCAGCCCTGCCTGCCCACACCCTCTGTGAAATAAGACAATAGCTAGAGGGGAAAGGCAAAGCTGGTATTTCTGCTGTGAAGCTTATGGGAAGTTGTGGATTACAGCAAGCTAGTCAGAGTTGGACGGCTACATTTGTCCAACCTGGGAGCCTAGTAAAAGGCTGGTACCTGAAAAGCTCTTCTCCCTTAAAGTTGATTTCAGCCTCTTCCATGTGCCCTTGGGGGCTTATATTGGGAGTGGGGATCACCACTTACCTGTCCTACCTCTGTAGTACAGATCCACAGGTGCTCTGTGAATGTAGACCAGATGCACAGGTACCTTGCTTTCCTTCCCATCAGAAGGAAGGATCTGGAAGCTTCAGAGAGAACGTGTAAAGTGAACATGGAGTTTGAAAGACATGCTCTTGACCCCACAGGCAGATTGTGTTAGGTGCAAAAAGTGCTAGGAGAGTTGGACTGAAGGCTTATGTCTTCCTCTAGCTCCTAAAGTGCCTGGGGCAGGGACAAGGGGTCCAGTGAAAGGTGAAGAAGAGGCCACATAATGAGGTAGTGTTCCCTCTTCTCAGGTGTTTGAGGCACTGCAGGAGCTGGTGTCTAAGGGCCAGGAAAATGGTCACCCTGCACACCTGAAGGCAGAACTTCGCACGAGGAACGTTAACAGATCATGTGAGCACGGTAAGACACTTCTAAGTGTAGGGGTTTAACATTGCCCCTTGTGGTTTTGTTCTCCTCCCTTCCTCTGTTCTTATCTGTAAAAGCCACTGAGAAATGAGCATGAGGTGCTTGCCCCGTCTCTTCCCCAGCCATCAGTAGGTAGTGCAAGGATAGACACTAATTGTGTGCAAAGCTGCTTCTAGACATGTCAGAACAAGGATGGCACATGTGGGCTCTCCAGAAAACCTGTCAATAAGGGAACTTGACAAGAAGAGACTCCCCTCTCCTCCTCTTGTGTTTTAACAAGCGTAAGATGACTTTTGACCACAGTCAAAACCAGCCTTGAATTCACAGAAGCAAAGGCAGCGATTTTGGACCCAGCAGATCAGCTGTGGTGCTCTGATGCTCACAGAGAGTTCTTCTGGACACACAGCCCTATCCAATGGCCTGTCCTTTCAGACTAAATATCCCTCTGGTGATTTTCCTGCCTTCCAGGAGTATTCACTGAAAACAGTCCTTAAAGCATGGTGCGTTTATATCTGGATGGTGAAATGCAGCCAGCTGGGAAGTGGGGATGTACAGGCTGCCCATGAATTTTGCAAAGCTGAAAAGGTTCCACTACTGGAGAGCGTCAATCCCAAACTGTGCAAAGCCTGAGCAGCAGCTGCAAGCAAAGCAATCCCTTCTCACAGTGTCAGGCTGTGACTGAGTGAGGAGCAGGCTCAGATGTTTACAGAGCAGAGTGGTTTCCCTGATAACATGTGATTCAAATAAAGAAGCCCTTATGACCTACCCACTCTGAAACCAAAAGGGAAGTTTTTCAGTGCACGCTGGATTGAACCATCATTTTCCCATGGCAAAGAATGAAAAGCAAACCTCATCCTGTGCATTTCTAGACAACAAAGCTTAAAGCAAGTTCTTTGGGAAAGGCAGTAAAAGTTCTCTGTGAAACTTTGCTGCTCCTTTCCCAATACACTCATAAAAGTAGTAATTTTCAGAAAACTTTGGTGTTGGATGAGGTATCCCATACTGGGAAAACTGTCTGGAGTGCTGAGGACTGTTTGAGGTCATTAGATGCCTAACAAATTAAATCAATAAGAAGTAGGACAGAAACCACCTTTTAAAATACTGACTTACGTATTTGGCCATCTTCTGCACACAGCAGGGGTTTGATGGAGCTGGGCAGTGCATTTATATGCCTGTAAGGAGACAAGGGAGGAGTTTGGTCGTCATGTACAGGCAGAGCAGTTATAAGCCTTTGTGATTTCCACATCCCATCTGCTTGCTTCCCTTCTTCCCCTACCCCAGGAGAGCAGAACCTGCTGCTGCTGCTTACCCCAGGTGAACCAGGCTCTGGTCTTCCTCCTTCTCCCCTTGTAGCTGCAGCAGGCTCTGCTGCAGCACTGGGGACAGCAAGCATGGCATACCAGCAGCTTCTTGCTTCAACCTCTTCTCACCTGCCTTTCTTTTCCCTCCCTATTTGATCTAGGTCCAGCGCCTGGGAAGGAAAGTGAGAGGGCAAACAGGAGACACACAGACATGATGCCCACCACTCCCCTGGTGCGGTGGATCCTGGCGCTCGGCTTCCTAGCCATGACAGTTGCCGTGGGCTTATTTGCCATGTGAAAGAGCAGGAGCTTCACCTTCTCTTCGTGCCTTCCCTCATCCTGAACTAATCCACCTTCCCCAGTCTTTGTGAGAGAAATTTCCCCCAGCTGGGTACTGTGATCTTGGCTCTGCCACTAATATTAGGAGACGTCTTCTCCCCAGAAATCAAAGTGCTGTAAGAGGGGTTCAGGCAAAGTCTCCTCTGTGCTTGGTGTGAGCTCTTCTCAGAGACTAACTTTAACACCAAAGGGTAGAAAGAGCTAAAAACAATGGCCAAGAATTGTTGTTGCTTTACAGAATGCCTGCAAAGCTTCTACAGGATCAGAAATGCAGCTTTGACATCTGTCTCTCCTCGGAGACACGAAGCTCCCTGGAGCTCTGTTTGCTCAATTTTTTATACTGCTAGATAACACTGTTATCTAGATTTTTTTATACTGCTAGATCACTTTTTCTGTGGAGCCACACGGCTCCTGTGGGTTATAGACTGTTAAATATGACACGAATAGGTCTTTTGTTCATTCTTTTTTCCAATCATTTTTGGTTTTTTTAAAAGCAGAACACGGTTGTTGAAGATACACTGTCATTCTCTCGTCTGGTGATGTAATTTATACACATAATAAACTTCAATTTAAACTCTTCAGGCCTGGTATTTCCCATTATTTAAGCCTTACGTGGGGAGAAAGGAGGTGTCTTTCTTCCTCCCAGTTTTATGTCTTTTGGAGCTGCTGCCTCCAAAGCCATGACAGTAGACAAAAGCAGGAGCTACATCAGAATCTGACTCTTCTCCCACTCGGTGCTATCAATAACCTGTTGGAAGCTGGGGCAGGTTTCTGCAGCTCCTACACGCTGCTTTCTATTTCTACAAATGGCACAAAAGTCTGTGACTGTACAAAGTATTTTTAAGAGGTGGAAGGCATATGTAAGAGCTATTAAAAGCAATAGGTGGTGGGACCCTCAGCCAGTCGAAACCAGGACAGATCTCTCTGACCACTACCAGCTAAGGGCTCCATTCCCAGGCTGCCTTTACAAGAATCAGAAAAGCAAGCATGTTTTCACCACCCAGAAATGAAATACACACTAGGTTGTGATCCTATGAGGCAGCTAAATGGGAGACATCAAGCACACAACCATATGCCCTCACCCAGGTAATAAACCAACCCAACTTCCTCTCAGGGCTCAGCACATACACATGGCATTGCTGAAGACACTCCAAACACACAGCACTGCTGGATGGATGTCTTTGTGGCCAGCCGCTCTTACAGCCATAAGGCCCTATGTGCTTCAGAGGGTCCTCTAACACAGGAGTCGCTGCAGGATAGGCTGCAGTTCAGGTACATGGAACAGTAGGTACCGACAAGGCCATTATCTATCACCTCAGAGCCCGTTCCTCTCTTTCTGCCAGAGAGCCTCCATGATCAACCAGTCTCCCTGATGCTGCCTGTTCTGTCTGTGACCTTAATCCCAAAGACATGCATTCCTAATATTCTGTTTTAATGACCAGCACTGACCCTGCTCAGAGAGCGAGCATGAGAAGGCACATCGTGCTGAGAATAAGCAGTGGGGAAGAGGGGCTGATTCAGGCTGATTACTCTCAGGCTCTAGATTTCTTCCAAAATCCCCTTTAATACTTCTCTCTTTGGGCCCATCTGAAACCCCTGGTAGAAAAAATAGTTCTTAAAAAAGATAGTCAGATGTTTGAAAAGCAGGCATATGAGGCTTGATAGCTATTCAAATATAGAGAACTTATTCAAACTTCTATTAAGTTCAGCCTACCCAGCCCATTTAACCCACCCCAACTAAATCATTATGTTCAACCGTGCTGAATAACTAACCCTCCCAAACATGCCAACATGCCCATGAGCTCAGAAATGCACTCTACCACACTCAGCATCTCTCCACTAACCAAAGAGATTGTAACCACGACCTCGAAGTTAGGAAATCTGGGTTCAGACGGACACCACCCCCTCCCTGCTCATGGCAGAAGAGGTATGGTGCTTTGAAGACCTCACTGCTATCACACACTGAAAGGCTACACACTGAGCGTAAAGAAGTCTTCAGAGGCAAAGACTAAAGCTTTGCTTGTACTTGCCTATGATCTTTCTGAATACATAAAGACGGACATGGACCTGTCAGAGTGAGTCCAGAGGAGGGACATGAAGATGCTTCTCCTCTGGAGACAGGCTGAGAGACCTATCTTGTTCAGGGGCTTGTTGAGCCTGGAGAAGTGAAGGCTCTGGGGGGACCTTAGAGCAGCTTC